CCTCGGGTGCGGTGGGAGGGGCAAAACAGAACAAGGACCGTATACGGTATAGCAACACCCCTCTCGTTCTGCCAGGACCGCCCTTGAGGGGTGGGAAGGGGCAAAGTAACTTGTGAGATGATAAGGGTATAGCGATGCCCCGCTCGCTCTTGCGGGATTTGTCTGGCGCTCTGGCGGGGCCGTCCCAGGAGAGGAGGGATGAGCACGAAAGCTGAGAGGCGAGGGGAGGAAGAGGAGAGAGGAGGGAATTGAGGCAAGGGAATGGTGCGGGAGGGAAGGAGGGACGGAGGAGGGAGGCCCGGGCCATCTGGGCCGTCTTGGAGCGCCTTGGGGCCTCCCGCTCCCGCTCTGTGGCCCAGTTTGCGCCTGTCCTGGGGCTCTCTTGGGCTGTCTGGGGCTCCTGCCGGGCAATTGTCTGTCTCCCTGGGGCCGTCTTGGAGCTCTTTTGGGTGCCTCTTCGGCGGTCTTGGGGCGGTCTTGGGGGCGTCTTCTGCCGTCTTCGAACATTGGAAGCTCGAGAGCGCGAGAAAGCGAAACACATCAAACAAACCAGTGCAAATCAATGATGTGGGCCTCTTTGGGCTCTCTCGGGACGTCTCTCGGAGCTCTCTTGGGCCCTCTTGGAGGCCACTTGAGCTGTGTTTTCCGTCTTGAGCTCCTCTTGGGGCTCGTCGGGATCATCTGGGCCGTCCTGGCGCTCCTTGGGGCCTCCCGCTCCCGCTCTGGGGCCCACCTTGTGCCTCTCCTAGGATTATATTGGGCAGTCTTGGGCTGCTCTTGGGCAATCTTCAGGCTCTCCTGGGCCGTCTTGGCGCTTTTGGGGGGGCCTCTTCGGCGGTCTTGGGGGCGACCTTCGGGGTGTCTTTGGCCGTCTTGGAGCGTGGGAAGCTCGAGAACGGGCTTCTTTGGGCTCTCTCGGGACGCCTCTCGGAACTCTCTTGGGCCCTCTTGGAGGGCTCTTGGGCTGTGCATTGGCCGTGTTGGGCCCATCTGGGGCCACGTTGGGGCCATCTGGGCCGTCGTGGAGCGACTTGAGGCCTCCCGCTCTGTGGCCCAGCTTGGGCCTGTCCTGGGGCTCTCTTTGGGCCGTCTGAGGCTCCTCGCGGGCAATTTTCGGACCCCCTCGGGCCGTCTTGGGGCTCTGGGTGCCTCTTCGGCGGTCTTGGGGCGGTCTTGGGGGCGTCGTCGGCCGTCGTGGAGCGCTGGAAGCTCGACAGCGCGAGACACCGAAACACATATAAAAAACAAATGAAAATCAAGGATTTGGGCTCTCGGAACTCTCTTGAGGCCTCTTGGAGGCCTCTTGGGCTGTGTATCTGCGGTCTGGAGCCCATCTTGGGCCACGTCGGGGCTATCTGGGCTGTCTTGGAGGGGCTGGTCGAAGTCCCCCCGGGGCTTCTCGGAGCCTCTTGGAGCTCTCTGGGGCAGTCTGGGGGCTCCACAGCCCCTCTGGGGTGCTCTGGGAGCGGTCTCGGAGGCCCTGGTCCCCCTATGCGCGCTCGGGGGCTCGGGGGCCGGGCCCCAGGCGCCCGGGCCTCTTGCGCGGGTGGCCCGTCCTGGGCCATCGTGGGGGCTCCCGGAGGCAGTCTTGGAGCCATCTTCGGCGTCTTGGAGCGACAATTTTTGGATACTGGGCCGTCTTGGACGTGTGAAGACCTCCTGGGACTCTCGGGTGGCGTTTCGGGGCTGTCTGGGGCTGTCTCGGGGGGGGCCCAGAGGCCCCCCGGGGCCCTCGGGGACCGTCTTGGGGGCCTCCTGGATAGTCGAGGGCTCCTCTGGAGCTGTCTTGGAGGCCTCTGGGAACTCTCTTCGGCCATCTCGGGGCGATGTTGTGGGCTCCTGGGGCCGTCTTCGAGGCGGTCGACGCCGACGATGTGAATATCGAACAAATCTACGTTATCCGACGGCAATGGAGCCATTTTTGCTTTTTGGAGGCGCTATTGGGAGTCCTCTTGGGGGACTCTTGGGCCGTCGGGGGGGCTTCCGGAGGCCGTCTCGGAGACATCTTCGGCGTCGTGGAGCGACGATTCGGGGATTCTGGGCTCTCTCGGACGTTTGGAGACCTCCTGGGACCATCGGGTGGGGTTTCGGGGCTGTCAGGGGCTGTCTTGGGGGGGGCCTCGTGCACGGGGATAGAGAGAGAGAGAGATAGTGTGAATATCTATGTATATATGTGTATATATACATATAGGTATACACAAACATACATACATACATACATACATACATACATACATGCATGCATGCATGCATGCATGCATGCATACATACATACATACATACATACATACCCACCACCCACCCACCCACCCACCCACCCACCCACCTACCTACCTACCTACCTACCTACCTACCTACCTACCTACATATATACATACATGCATGCATGCATGCATACATGCATGCATGCACGCATACATACATGCATACACACGTGCATGCATGCATGCATGCATACAAACATACATACAATCATACATGTACACACCTACATACATACATACATACATACATGCATACATTCATACATACATACATACATACATACATACATACATACATGCATACCTACCTACCTACCTACCTACCGACCTACCTACCTACCTACATGCATGCATACATGCATACATACATACATGCATATATACACATATACATGCATTCATACCTACACACATACATACGTACATACATGCATACATATACATACAAGCATGTCTACATGCATGCATACATATATACATACATACTTACATACATACACACATACATACATACATACATACATACATGCATACATACATAATTATATGCATGCATACATATATACATACATACACACACAGACATGCATACATACATGCATACATACAGATACATTCACACATACATACATACATGTCTATGTCTCTCCCTCTCTCTCTATATATATATATATATATATATAGGTCGGGCCTGTCCCCCTGCAAGTGGATGTCGGGGGAAAAATTAAAACACACTCAAAAAATACACCAAAAATTCCCGGGCATAGTAAAACCAATCGTCCCCCGACGATGTGTTTTATTATGTTTGAATCTTCCCCCTGTAGAGGGACAGGCCCGACTGATATATACATATATATACACATGTGTATACATATATATATATATATATAGAGAGAGAGATATACATACTAGCGCGATTCTTGAAGGAGAAGGAGAGACACTGAGGGGACGATGAGCGGACAGAATATGCAGCCTCGCGTGCACTCCAGGCTGGCACCGAGAGGCAGCCCACGGGAGCACAGAAAGCATAGCGGTGATCCTTGTGAATACACGCCGCCTGAATCTGGTTCCAAATCATTGGAGGCCTGGAAATGGGCAACAACACCAACAAGGGGTTGCCTCCACAGGGGTAGGATGATCCTAGATGTCGGTGTTGGTGGTAATATTTCGGTCACCTTGGAAGTCCGAAGATTACCACTATTACCGAGATCGGGATCTTCTTCCCTCGGTGGAGGCACACAGCCGATATTGGTGTTGGTGTCAACCTCTAGGCCTGCGAAATTAGCAGGAACTGCCGATGGACCTTGCTCTGGCCCTCTCTCGGAAGCGCGCAAACATGGATTAGCGATCCGTGGATTTGGCGCGCGGGGGGGAGGCGCCGTCCCCAAAATGCGGTCGGTGCCGCCTCGCTGGGTGGCGGAAATCCGCGAGTTCCAATGGAAACGGGGCCCCTCGCTAATCCACGCCCCCTGAACCCATGTTTGCGATCGCCTGACCTTCTACGCCCACCCCCTCCGATCCCCCCGACGCGCGTGCCCTCGCGCAGAGGGCACGCGCAGCAGACCCCCGGCCACCCGGGGAGGAGAGCACGGGCAGAGGAGAGGCGCTCGCGGCCCCGCGCGCGGGGGCCAGGGAGGGGGAGCCCGCGTGGCCCCGCCTCTCGCGCGGCGGGGGCCTGTCCACGGCCTCCGCCTGAGGGATCCATCTTTCTGGCACCTCGGCGGGCCGTGGGCATGGAGACGTTTGGCACCCCCCCAGGGCCTGGGCATGCCCGCGTTTGGCACCCCCCCCCCCAGGGCCTGGGCATGCCCGCGCAGCCCAGATCCACCGCCCGCCGAGGCCCCCGACGATCCACGTCCCCAGGCGGTGGTAGCGGACACCTCTCCGTGGCGGAGAGCCGCACCTCGGAAGGGATCGGCGGTGGACAGACCTCCCTTTAGTAAACCACCCTTGCGTGAAAGCGGCCTGGGACCGAAACCGACGGACCTGGACCCGCGAAAATAACGGCCGTGACGCCCTCTCGCGAACCGAAAACGGCCGCCACGACGGCTCTTCCCCGTCGCCTTCCGATCCCCGTCTTGGCCGCCGCGTGTCCCGCGGGCCACGACGGACGTCAAGGAATCGGCTTTGAGCGGGCGATGTTCAGAGGACGCCCCCGTCGGCGACGCGCACGAGGGAGCAGGGCGAGGGGGGCGGCCTTCCAGACAAGCAGCGGGCTCCTTGGAAGCCCTCCTGTACTCGAGGAATCCTCCTTGGAAGCCTCTCCAAGCAGTCGCACACCCCTCATCAGAAACCCGAAGCCGCCACCCTCATCCCAAACCCCCCATGGCGCGCCGCCGAGATCAGCAAGTCTCTCGAAGACTCCAGCATCCCGCTCAGGGCTTGACAGCCTCCGAGAGCCCGTTTCAGGCCCTGGTACCTGCAGATAGCACCCCGCGTCGCGAACTCCATGCGAAGATGCGCTCAAAAGCGTCTGGAGAACTCCAAGTGGACCGTTCGACGTGGCCGCCGCGTCCAGGTGGCGCGACCCTGCCGAGGGCAGTCTCTGATCAATTTCGACCTCCGGACATCTTGCCGACATCATCCTGACCAATGCCTCGAGCTCGGTTCAGCCGTGGCCACGAAGAGGTGCCCCGAGGTCCAAATACTGAAGCTCGGGGCGACCCGCCGTGGAATCTCGCGAGGAGGAGGAGGAGGAGGAGGACGACGACGACAACGACGAGGCGGATCTCGCGCCTTGCCCTCGTCCTCCATCTTCTTGCGCACAGTGGGTTTCATCGCTCGCCTGCGGGAGGGCGCCAGCGAAGGGGAAGCATCGCCTCTCACCAGGCCATCCGGTTGGTTGCTCCTGGTCCTGCACCTTCCCCTCCCCCTCCAATCCCCCCTACTCTCCGACATCTCTCCAAATCATACTCCCGCTGCAGCGCCGACCTCATGTCTCTGTTGCGGATCATCCAATTCGTGTTCCCGCTACAACGGTGGCTCTCATGTTATGCTTCCGCTCTTTCTGAACCGTCCACTTACATGTCGTACATAGCATCTCGCACCCTCTCGGGATCAATACCCCGCTCGACATCCGACTGTGGACTGTGCTACGGTGCTACGCCATGGTAAGGGACGGGAGGGAGGGGTATGACGTCAGATAAGACGCTTGCGCACCTAGCTTGCCGACACCTCTCTCCTCTCATCCCCCTCCCCTCCATGTCATCCTCCTCCTCCTCATCCTGTCCTCATCCTGCTCCTCCTCCCCCTCCTCCTCCTCCTCCTCCTCCTCCTCCTCCTCCTCCTCCTCCTCCTCCTCCTCTCCTCCTCCTCCCTCCTCCTCCTCCTCCTCTCACTCCTCCTCCTCCTCCTCCTCCTCCTCCAGCTCCTCCTCCTCCTCCTCCTCCTCCTCCTCCTCCTCCTCCTCCTCCTACCTCTCCTCCCTCCCCTCCCCTCTTCTCTTGCCCCCCTCCCTCCTGCCCTCTACCCACATCCTCCCTCGCCCCTCACGTCTTCTCCTCTGCTCCGCTCCTCTTCCGCCTCTTCCGCCTCCTCCTCCTCCTCCTCCTCCTCCTCCTCCTCGCCCTGCGTCTCTTTCGTTCTCCCCCATTCTCCCCTCCCTCCACGACCATCATCAATCATCTACGTAATCCCACCAGCCCTCTGGGCGTCGGTGGTAAGGGTTTCGCGAGGTGCCAGAGCGTCCAAAACGGCTTCGGCGAGGAAGCCAAAATCATTGATTTTACTAAGGTTCTGGCCCCATTTTGGTCTCCTGAGGGAGGGACCCTAATTAAAACCCCCCCCTGCCAGTGATCGGCCTCACCTAAGATGGCCCCAAGAAACGCCCCCAAGGCTCCCAAGGGTGCCCCAAGAGGGCCCCAAGAGGTGGCCAGGAAGCCCCAAGAGGCCCCCAAGATGCCCCCAAGAGGCTCCCAAGAGGCCCCAAGAGACCTCCACGAGACCTTCAATAGGCCCCGAGAGCCCCCGAGAGGCCCCGAGAGGCCCCCCAGAGGCACCCAAGACGCTCCAAAAGGCCTTGGTAACAATGCCAAAATCGCTGATTGTACTAAGGTTTTGGCCACATGTTGGCCTCCTGGGGGGGACACTGCTTCAGATGACTCCAAGAGCGCCTGGGAGAGCCAAAGATGATCTCCAAGATGGCTCGCGATATCCCAAGATGCCTCAAGATGGCGCCCACGATGCTCCAAGAGGCCCCAAGACCGCTCCAAGACAGCTCCAAGCGGCCAAAGAGCTCCCCCAGGAGGCCCCGAAGAGGCCACAATTCTTCCAAAACCTTAGGGCAATCCATGTTGTTGGTTTTCTCGCCGAGGCCTCAAGATGGCTCCAAGATGGCCCAAGAGGGCTCCAAGAGCGTTCCCAAGGCTTCCAAGAGCGCTTCAAGAGGTCCCCAAGAGGCGTCCAGGAGGCCCCAGGAGGCCCCAACAGGCGCCCAAGAGGCCTCCAAGAGGCTCACAAAAGACCCCCAAGAGGCCACAAGAAGCTCTCCGAGGCACCCAAGACAATCTAAGAGGCGCCCAGGACCGCCAAGAGGCCCCCAAGACGCTCCAAGAAGCCTCCACTGGGGGACCCTTCCTCTGTGTGCTGCCCGCTTCCCTGATCGAGGCAATTCCTCTGGGCATCGTTTCTGGATGGGCTGGTGGGGATTTTTTTTTGGTCGCGGCCGCGAGACAAGGGCCAGGCGACGAAAGCAAAGTCCGGGGCACGAACGAGGCTAATTAGCTACAGCAGGCACAGGCCGGCCGGCCCGCCCACAAAGCAGCCACGAAGCTGAAGGGGAGCTGACGCCGCAGGTGTCCTGATCCTGAGAGCTCGTGCACGCGAGCAGACAAAATGTCATGGAATTCGGTGCCTGTCACAGTCCGAGACGTGAGCCGGGATAACCAAGCCCGTCAATCTAAGTGGGGGCACGACCCACACAGTAGAGACGTAAACCAGGATGGTCAAATCCGTCGTGCTGAATGGGGGCAAGTGGGAGGCCATTGGAGTGAGTCGCCAGTGGGGCGCCAGGCTCCAAACGCCCGGACGATTTGAGCTAGCCAGAAAGGCTGAACAGTCGTGAGCCGTGGTGCAACGCAACTGGGGAAAGCTGAAGGTGAGCCTGGAATGCTGTACCTGCTGCGGAAGGCTGAACCACCCCGTAACGCAGCCAACGCCTGTCAGACCACCCCACAGCGCCAGGGGGCAACCGAGCGACTGCGAGCCTCGCAGTGCGTGCCGGCAAGGCGACAGGCCTCTGAGTGGGGGGGAAGCCAGCTGGCGTGGACAGCATCGCCAGCAGGGAAGAGCAGAGGGAGCTGCAGTGGGGGTAGTGATGCCCTGAAGGCGAAAGTAGACCAGAACAGGCGGACCCCGAAGAGAACAGGACGGGCTGTACCTCCCGGGGCACGTGGCGCCTGTGCGAGCGATGCGTTCCGAGGCCATAGGGCGATGCGCCTGGGGGGAGCTGCACTCGGGCCAACGGGCGCAAGGTCTGGGCCAACGGGCGCAAGGTCTGGCCCAGTCCGTCGCTTGGCACTTCCGCCCAAGACTCCGGGAACGCCAACACACACCACGTGGCCCTCCAGGGTCGCACCTAACCGTCGCTGAGAGTGACGAGCCAAACCACGACCAGCGAGGGGCACGGGCGGCCCCGGGAGGGGGGGGGAACCACGCAGACGTCTGACAGTACGTCTGGCGGGCCCCGGGGCCAAGGGCGGGGGGCACTCGCCTGGCCCGAGAGGGGAGAGGCGAGGGGGAGCAACGCCTCTCCCCTCGGCCTGGCCCCGAACCCGCGAGTCAGGGGCCATGGTCGCTGTCTGGGGCCCTCCAGGGTCGCAGCAAGCCGCCGCCCAAGAGCAAATAATATCGATTGTGCTCGGATGGGACGGGTGTTGCGGTTCCCCTGGGGTCGCAGCTGATCGCCGCTATGGTCTATATCACATGTGCGCGCTCTCGTTTTCCCATGCTGCGGAACGACTGCGGACTCCCACGCGGGCATGGGCAGAGGCCGCGCCTGCGCCTGGGCGCATGCCCGAGCCGATGCAGGCACCGATGCCCCCCATAAGCCCAATCCCCTCCCGTGCCAACTGAATTCGACAAGTCGGAGGCTCCACCACCAGAAAATGTAGTTTACAGGGCGGTGGGCGGGGAAAACAACTTGAGTGACCGAAAGCACGCCGGCGAGCATGAGAGCGGAGCTCGAAACCAAAATGGCCGCGGGCACGGGAGCGCCATGTGACTCTGTGCATCCGCTCTGCTCCTGCACCCCTCCACATGTGCGTGCTCTCGTTTTCCCATGCTGCGGAACGACTGCGGACTCCCACGCGGGCATGGGCAGAGGCCGCGCCTGCGCCCGGGCGCATGCCCGAGCCGATGCAGGCACCGATGCCCCCCCAATGCCAGTGCGCCCTGCTCCGCGCACGAGGCAGCACTACGTGCTAAAGCTGCCTTCGCCGCTGCACTCTCCCCTAGCATGAACTTCTCACACAAGAGCACAAGGGCTTGCACGGTCTCTCGGCGGGCTCGCGCTTCCTGTGGTCATCGGTGCCGAAAGCACGCCCGCCGAGAAATCCTCGTGCAACGCGAGGGCCCATGATCGACTGGATGTCCCTTTGATCACTGACGGCTGCCGAGAGGCAAGGCCTTGCCGAGCGGTACTTGCCTGCCTTGAGGCTCGCTCCTACGGCGGCCACCTTGGGGATAGACAACGGGAACGGCCCGGGCTCCAGAAAGCCTGGGGGCGCCCACAAGTGCGGATCCGCGAGGCCAAGCACTCCCCCGAGGTCGTCGCGTACACCGACCCGGCGAAGCTCGACGCAGCGAGCAAGCGCGCCCGTTCCTCCCGCCAATCCGGCATGGACCCGCGGGAATGTCGGTGCCTGCTGGGTGCGTCGTGGCGCGCGCGCCGATGTCACCCTATGGCCGGTCTGGCCGGAGACGCGCGCGCCGAGACGCTGTCGCCCTATGGCCGGTCTGGCAGGGGACGCGCGTGCCGAGATGCGCCGATGTCCCCCCACGGCCGGTCTGGCCGGGGACGCACGTGCCGAGACGCGCCGATCTCCCCCTATGGCCGGACTGGCCAGGGACGCACATGCCGGGATGCGCCGATGCCCCTCCATGGCTGGTCAGGCCAGGGACGCGCCGTGGAGGTCAAAGCTGTCGCACCACACGCGACAGCGATGAGGATGAAGATGCTCTTCTCACCAGCACAGCGTGTCGCACACGCACAAACTCTCAGTGCAGTCCCAGAGGACTAAGTGGAAACTGGGGGGGGGAAGTATAGATGGGATGGTGGATTCATAAGAGTGGGTAGAGTATGGGTCTTGAGCCAAAATGGCTACGGCCCGCCCTCCTGGGCAACCAACCCTCCCCTCTGTATCTTAAGCTCAGGGAGTCTCGGAAAGGATAGGGAACATCGCCAAACGATGGGCCTCGAGACTCAAATCTTACAGTGCCCCGAAAAATAGTGAGCTTAAGAGGGGGTGGTTGCCCTTGCAAAACTGATGGAGGGGAGGGGCCGCCCCGGCTCTCTCCTTGAAACAGTCCGCCTGCTGCCGCCATCTGCTGGGCACCTGACCGCGCACTGGATCGGCCGTGCGCTGGTGCCTGCTCTCCTTGAAACACCCTGCTTGCTGCCGCCATCTGCTGGGCGCCTGACTGCGCACTGGATCGGCCGTGCGCTGGCGCCTGGCACCTGTCTCGCCTTGTCGTAGAACTCTACTCGGCAGTGAGACGGCCTTTGGCTGGCTGATCGGTTCCACCCTCCTGCTGCTGCTGGAGTTGCCTCTGGGATTCGGCCCGGGA